TTATTATTTAATCCAAACTTACTTATCTGATACTTACTTTATGCATGTTACACGTCCATTAAAACTACCATACCAGCAATCAATTTTCTCTGATGCAAAGCAGCTGAACACTAAACTGCAGCAAAATGTTATGTACGCAAACTGGTACGTAGAATGTGTTTTGGGAAAGGAGGTAATTGCAGAGATACTTGGACGGTTCCAGAACATCACAACTGTTGAAATGAGACAAATCTGCTCAAAGACAGAGTATTCCTGTCGTGAAGCCATAAAGGAAGAAATCCAAAGTTTTAGACAGGCAAGAAAGAATTTGAAGATGAATTAATGCGAAGAGTGATAAATTTCAAAGGTTACTTCATGATATCCTTTTGTTTTAATCCGTAAGAGGGTTAGAACGAAATTTCTGCATACCTGTAACAACTGTTTACTGTATTATGTTTGAATACTATGGTGTTAATAATGATAAAGATGAAGATACTTTATGATGATGGTACATTTTTATGGTAGTGCTGAGAATGTTGATGTTGAAGTAGGGTTAAATAGACGAAAGATATGTTATTGATTATAATGGTGATACGTTTCTGGTTATTGTGCTTAGCATGATGATGGTGAAGTAAAGTTTATATTGCCTAAATATATATCAATGATCAAGATGGGGATACGTTTTTGTTGATGGTGCTGAACATGATTATGTTGAAGTAAAGTTTTACTCGACAATAGAAATGTTAAAGATAAAGATGGTGTTTAAACTTTGTTGACGGTGCTGAACATGATTATGATGAAGTAAAATTTCAGCTAACAATAGTGATGTTAATGATGAAAATGGAGGTATATTGTTGTTGATGGTGCTGTCATGAAGATGGTGATGTTACGTTTTAACTGATGACAGTGATGCTAATGATTATGATGGTAATACGTTTTCGTTGATGGTGCTGAAAATGATGATGTTGAGGCAACGTTTTAACTGACGACAGCGATGTTAATGATTATGATGGTGGTACGAATCCGTTAATTGTGCTGAACGTGGTGATGGTGAAGAAACAGTTTAACTGATGACAGCGATGTTAATGATTATGATGGTGGTACGTTTTCGTTAACGGTGCTGAACATGATAATGATGAAATAAAATTTAAATAGCCAATTGTGATGTTAATGATTATAATGGTAGCACATATTTGTTCGGGGCTAAACATGACGATGGCGAAAAAAGTTTTAATTCACGAAAGATATGCAATTGATTATGATGGTGGTACGTTTCTGTTCATTGTGGTGATAGTGACGATGGTGAAGTAAGGTTTTACTTGAAAAAAGTGATGTTAATGACAAAGATGGAAGTTACATTTTTGTTGATGAAGCTGAACATGATGATGGTGAAGTAACGTTTTACTTGACAATAGTGATGTTAATGACAAAGATGGAGATACATTTTTGGTGATGTTGCTATACATGAAGATGGTGAAGTTAAGTTTTAATTGACAACAGTGACAATAATGATTATAATGGTGATACGTTTCTGTTGACGGTGTTGAACATGGTGATGGTGAAGTAATGGTTTAACTGACGGCAGGATGTTAATGATTACGATGGTGGTACGTTTCCGGTGATGGTACTGGATATGATGACGGTGAGGTCACGGTTAAACTGACGGCAGTCATGTTAATGATTACGATGGTGGGACGTTTCTGTTGACGGTGCTGAATATGTTGAAACTTGAAATAAAGTTGTAGTAGCCAATGCCAGTATATATTTGTTAGCGGTGCTGAACATCACGATGGTGAAGTAAAGTTTAAATTGCCGAAAGCTATGTAATTGATTATGATGGTGGTACATTTCTGTTCATGAGAATGATCATAAAGAAGTAAGGTTTAAAATGTCAAGATGACGATGAAGATACAATTTTGTTGATGGTGCTGAACATGATTATGTTGAAGTATATATTTTTTGACAATTGTGACGGTGCTGAACATTACGATGGTGAGTTTTATTATTATGATGATGGTACGTTTCCGTTGACGGTGTTAAACATGATGAGGGTGAGGTAACATCTTAATGTGAATGATTATTATGGCAGTATACATTTGTTTACCGTACTGAATATCACGATGGTGAAGTAAAGTTAAGATTGCTGAAATATATGGATTTTGATTCTGATTGTGGTATGTTTCTGTTGACGGTGCTGAACATGATGATGATGACGTAAATTTTTGATAAGCGACGGTGATGTTAATGATTCTGATGGTGGTACGTTTATGTTGATGGTGCTAAATATGATTATGATTGTGGTGGAACGTTTTTGGTAGTGCTGAACATGATTATGGTGATGTAAAGTATAATTAACAGTAATTACCAGAAGTAAACGTTTTAGTTGCCAAAAATTGTGTTTTTAATAAAAATTGAGATATATTGTATTGACAGTACTGAACACAATTAAGGTGAAGTAAAATTCTAATTGCCAATAGTGATGTTTATGAATATAATGGTTGTATATATTTGTTAACAGAGCTGAACACAATACTGATGTTCACGATAATGAAGGTTGTGCAGGTGTTAATTTGGTCCTGATGATTGTTATAACGATGTTTTGTTCACAATGCCTGTGATGATGATGATGATGATGATGATGATGATGATGATGATGATGATGATAATGATGATGATGATGATGATGAGGAGGAGGAGGAGGAGGAGGAGGTAAAAGAGGAGCAGGAAGGAAATGAGAAGGAGTAGGATATGTAATGATGTTAATGAAAATGATGAACATTTGAAGTACAATGGAGATGAAAAGATGGTGACAATTTTGGTTATTTGGTTTATTTTTATAACGTTTTGGATGGTTTTAATTATTATAAATGTGAATGTGTCATGTGAAAGACAGTTATATTGAATATTGTTTATGATATGTTTATTGTGATTGTGACAATATTTGTAATGATATAATGTGTAATGGTGTTAAAATATTCCTAATAATGACCAATGAAATAATGTGTGTATTGCTGATTATCAATTCTTTGTGATGGTTAATTCATCTGTGATGCTAATCAATAGTGGTCAATAATAATAATGATTTTGATGGCATAGAGGAATTGGACGATTTTATTTGTAATGGTAATGATGATACTTATAGGATTATGGTCATACTAATAGTGATAATAAAGGTGCTATTGATAGAGGATAGAGAACCCGATATAATGTTGATGATAATAATGTGACGTAACTTTTGTAGACAAAATGGTTGATTTTGATGTTGATGACGATTTGTACAAGAAATAAACTTTCATAAAATCATTTGGAATCAATCAAGATCAATATATTTGAATATTGTGTTATTTGTACAAATGCCATGTTTTTAATATAAATGTCTGTTCAATGCAATTCTGTAACTTTGTAAGAGTTGTTTTAAAACCGTTTTATGACTTTCTCCTATTATAGTTTCAAAATAATTATGACGACGATGAAGATGGTGGAATCTGTTACGAAGCATTTAAGCATTATTATGGAAGAATATGGTACGAAAATTATGACATAATCTTGTTTCTTCTTGGGTTTTTTTACGAATAAAACAAGGACCAGTCCATAAAGAGCAAAAGTCGACAACTAACTGATAATATCATGCAAACAAACAATCAACACACAGTCTCTAAAATTATAACAACATGGAAATCAAAAGACTGAACAAGACGTATCACACAAAACAAAACCCATTCAGTTGTCAGGTTTCAATTATATTAACATAGTAGGGAAACTCATGAATAAGTTTACATTTTTTTGCCATTGCAGGATCAAAATGAGAACATTTATCAGCTCTCCTTTATGTATAGAGGGACCGATTTTATGGTATTCCAAAATTAATAGACCTTTGCAATGTTTAGAACGGGTTTGTGAAATTCACATGTTATTTGAAAATCAGTAACATCAATTCGTTAATTTTACTGATGCCATCACGAGTTGGTAGAACGTAATAGAATAATTTTCCGTTTCAAAGATGATAGCGGATATGTTCCAAATGTCATAACTACAATCCCGTCCACTTTTAAGGAATGAGACCTACCAGACAATAAACTGTTTTATAACTCTTCAAATGTTTCGGATCCGACATATCCTTGTCTGTCAAATATTAGCTTTCCTGATAAGGGTTAAATTCAGAAAATTGATTCAGATGCATGGTTATATATTATTTCATTGAATTTATGAAACTTCTAATTAAAAGTGGTATATCGTCAGATATAGTAAGTATCTATATTTACAGTAGTGCAACCGAAATTCATCGATATGGCAAAATTTGCTCATTTCATAATATAAGAACAGATAATTTATGAAGGACAATTCACGAAAAAAAATAATGACGTACATGATACCGATTAAAGAGTCCCTGGAATTACTAGAATTATTTAAAAGACTAATACATGATTCAAGTTATTTCAGAACTACCCTATTTTTAATTTATCTGAATACATGTTTGGTAATGAGTACCCATTCCTAAAAAGTCAGAGCAGGGCCCACTGGTTTTCTTTAGGCAAGCCTCGCCACCTTCGTACGGCAAAGTTTGACACCGGACATGGTTCAAATGAAAGGTAATAAATCAGAACAGAGCCCTCTGTAATGATTTTTTGGGGGTTAGGCCCATTCGGGAATTATAGGGGTTCAAAGTTGTTAAAAAAAAAAATACGTGTCCACCCTACACTCTTTCGGTAAGCCTCGCCAGCTTCGTACGGCAAAGTTCTTTACCGGACATGGCTCAAATGAAAGGTAATGAATCAGAGCAAAACCCACTGAAATGATTTTTTGGGGGTTAGGACCTTCTGGGAATTGAAGGGGTTCAAAGTTGGTATTTTTTTTTTTACGTTTCCACCGTACATTCTTTCGGCAAGTCTCGCCAGCTCCGTACGGCAAAGTTCGACACCGGACATAGCTCAAATGAAAGGTAATGAATCAGAGCAGGACCCACTGAAATGGTTTTTTGGGGGTTAGGACCTTCTGGGAATTGAAGGGGTTCAAAGTTGGTATTATTTTTTTTTTTACGTTTCCACCGTACATTCTTTCGGCAAGTCTCGCCAGCTCCGTACGGCAAAGTTCGTCACCGGACATAGCTCAAATGAAAGGTAATGAATCAGAGCAGGACCCACTGAAATGATTTTTTGGGGGTTAGGACCTTCTGGGAATTGAAGGGGTTCAAAGTTGGTATTATTTTTTTTTTTACGTTTCCACCGTACATTCTTCCGGCAAGTCTCGCCAGCTCCGTACGGCAAAGTTCGACACCGGACATAGCTCAAATGAAAGGTAATGAATCAGAGCAGGACCCACTGAAATGATTTTTTAGGGGTTAGGACCTTCTGGGAATTGAAGGGGTTCAAAGTTGGTATTATTTTTTTTTTACGTTTCCACCGTATATTCTTCCGGCAAGTCTCGCCAGCTCCGTACGGCAAAGTTCGACACCGGACATAGCTCAAATGAAAGGTAATGAATCAGAGCAGGACCCACTGAAATGATTTTTTGGGGGTTAGGACCTTCTGGAAATTGAAGGGGTTCAAAGTTGGTATTATTTTTTTTTTTACGTTTCCACCGTACATTCTTTCTGCAAGTCTCGCCAGCTCAGTACGGCAAAGTTCGACGTCGGACATAGCTCAAATGAAAGGTAATGAATCAGAGCAGGACCCACTGAAATGATTTTTTGGGGGTTAGGACCTTCTGGGAATTGAAGGGGTTCAAAGTTGGTATTTTTTTTTTTTTACGTTTCCACCGTACATTCTTTCGGCAAGTCTCGCCAGCTCCGTACGGCAAAGTTCGACACCGGACATAGCTCAAATGAAAGGTAATGAATCAGAGCAGGACCCACTGAAATGGTTTTTTGGGGGTTAGCACCTTCTGGGAATTGAAGGGGTTCAAAGTTGGTATTATTTTTTTTTACGTTTCCACCGTACATTCTTTCGGCAAGTCTCGCCAGCTCCGTACGGCAAAGTTCGTCACCGGACATAGCTCAAATGAAAGGTAATGAATCAGAGCAGGACCGACTGAAATGATTTTTTGGGGGTTAGGACCTTCTGGGAATTGAAGGGGTTCAAAGTTGGTATTATTTTTTTTTTTACGTTTCCACCGTACATTCTTCCGGCAAGTCTCGCCAGCTCCGTACGGCAAAGTTCGACACCGGACATAGCTCAAATAAAAGGTAATGAATCAGAGCAGGACCCACTGAAATGGTTTTTTGGGGGTTAGGACCTTCTGGAAATTGAAGGGGTTCAAAGTTGGTATTATTTTTTTTTTTACGTTTCCACCGTACATTCTTTCTGCAAGTCTCGCCAGCTCAGTACGGCAAAATTCGACGTCGGACATAGCTCAAATGAAAGGTAATGAATCAGAGCAGGACCCACTGAAATGATTTTTTGGGGGTTAGGACCTTCTGGGAATTGAAGGGGTTCAAAGTTGGTATTATTTTTTTTTTTACGTTTCCACCGTACATTCTTCCGGCAAGTCTCGCCAGCTCCGTACGGCAAAGTTCGACACCGGACATAGCTCAAATGAAAGGTAATGAATTAGAGCAGGACCCACTGAAATGATTTTTTGGGGGTTAGGACCTTCTGGAAATTGAAGGGGTTCAAAGTTGGTATTATTTTTTTTTTTACGTTTCCACCGTACATTCTTTCTGCAAGTCTCGCCAGCTCAGTACGGCAAAATTCGACGTCGGATATAGCTCAAATGAAAGGTAATGAATCAGAGCAGGACCCACTGAAATGATTTTTTGGGGGTTAGGACCTTCTGGGAATTGAAGGGGTTCAAAGTTGGTATTATTTTTTTTTTTACGTTTCCACCGTACATTCTTCCGGCAAGTCTCGCCAGCTCCGTACGGCAAAGTTCGACACCGGACATAGCTCAAATGAAAGGTAATGAATCAGAGCAGGACCCACTGAAATGATTTTTTGGGGGTTAGGACCTTCTGGAAATTGAAGGGGTTCAAAGTTGGTATTATTTTTTTTTTTACGTTTCCACCGTACATTCTTTCTGCAAGTCTCGCCAGCTCAGTACGGCAAACTTCGACGTCGGACATAGCTCAAAAGAAAGGTAATGAATCAAAGCAGGACCCACTGAAATGATTTTTTGGGGGTTAGGACCTTCTGGGAATTGAAGGGGTTCAAAGTTGGTATTTTTTTTTTTTACGTTTCCACCGTACATTCTTTCGGCAAGTCTCGCCAGCTCCGTACGGCAAAGTTCGACACCGGACATAGCTCAAATGAAAGGTAATGAATCAGAGCAGGACCCACTGAAATGGTTTTTTTGGGGGTTAGGACCTTCTGGGAATTGAAGGGGTTCAAAGTTGGTATTATTTTTTTTTTACGTTTCCACCGTACATTCTTTCGGCAAGTCTCGCCAGCTCCGTACGGCAAAGTTCGTCACCGGACATAGCTCAAATGAAAGGTAATGAATCAGAGCAGGACCCACTGAAATGATTTTTTGGGGGTTAGGACCTTCTGGGAATTGAAGGGGTTCAAAGTTGGTATTATTTTTTTTTTTACGTTTCCACCGTACATTCTTCCGGCAAGTCTCGCCAGCTCCGTACGGCAAAGTTCGACACCGGACATAGCTCAAATGAAAGGTAATGAATCAGAGCAGGACCCACTGAAATGATTTTTTGGGGGTTAGGACCTTCTGGAAATTGAAGGGGTTCAAAGTTGGTATTATTTTTTTTTTTACGTTTCCACCGTACATTCTTTCTGCAAGTCTCGCCAGCTCAGTACGGCAAAGTTCGACGTCGGACATAGCTCAAATGAAAGGTAATGAATCAGAGCAGGACCCACTGAAATGATTTTTTGGGGGTTAGGACCTTCTGGGAATTGAAGGGGTTCAAAGTTGGTATTATTTTTTTTTTACGTTTCCACCGTACATTCTTTCGGCAAGTCTCGCCAGCTCCGTACGGCAAAGTTCGTCACTGGACATAGCTCAAATGAAAGGTAATGAATCAGAGCAGGACCCACTGAAATGATTTTTTGGGGGTTAGGACCTTCTGGGAATTGAAGGGGTTCAAAGTTGGTATTATTTTTTTTTTTACGTTTCCACCGTACATTCTTCCGGCAAGTCTCGCCAGCTCCGTACGGCAAAGTTCGACACCGGACATAGCTCAAATGAAAGGTAATGAATCAGAGCAGGACCCACTGAAATGATTTTTTGGGGGTTAGGACCTTCTGGAAATTGAAGGGGTTCAAAGTTGGTATTATTTTTTTTTTTACGTTTCCACCGTACATTCTTTCTGCAAGTCTCGCCAGCTCAGTACGGCAAAGTTCGACGTCGGACATAGCTCAAATGAAAGGTAATGAATCAGAGCAGGACCCACTGAAATGATTTTTTGGGGGTTAGGACCTTCTGGGAATTGAAGGGGTTCAAAGTTGGTATTTTTTTTTTTTTACGTTTCCACCGTACATTCTTTCGGCAAGTCTCGCCAGCTCCGTACGGCAAAGTTCGACACCGGACATAGCTCAAATGAAAGGTAATGAATCAGAGCAGGACCCACTGAAATGGTTTTTTGGGGGTTAGCACCTTCTGGGAATTGAAGGGGTTCAAAGTTGGTATTATTTTTTTTTACGTTTCCACCGTACATTCTTTCGGCAAGTCTCGCCAGCTCCGTACGGCAAAGTTCGTCACCGGACATAGCTCAAATGAAAGGTAATGAATCAGAGCAGGACCGACTGAAATGATTTGTTGGGGGTTAGGACCTTCTGGGAATTGAAGGGGTTCAAAGTTGGTATTATTTTTTTTTTTACGTTTCCACCGTACATTCTTCCGGCAAGTCTCGCCAGCTCCGTACGGCAAAGTTCGACACCGGACATAGCTCAAATAAAAGGTAATGAATCAGAGCAGGACCCACTGAAATGGTTTTTTGGGGGTTAGGACCTTCTGGAAATTGAAGGGGTTCAAAGTTGGTATTATTTTTTTTTTTACGTTTCCACCGTACATTCTTTCTGCAAGTCTCGCCAGCTCAGTACGGCAAAATTCGACGTCGGACATAGCTCAAATGAAAGGTAATGAATCAGAGCAGGACCCACTGAAATGATTTTTTGGGGGTTAGGACCTTCTGGGAATTGAAGGGGTTCAAAGTTGGTATTATTTTTTTTTTTACGTTTCCACCGTACATTCTTCCGGCAAGTCTCGCCAGCTCCGTACGGCAAAGTTCGACACCGGACATAGCTCAAATGAAAGGTAATGAATTAGAGCAGGACCCACTGAAATGATTTTTTGGGGGTTAGGACCTTCTGGAAATTGAAGGGGTTCAAAGTTGGTATTATTTTTTTTTTTACGTTTCCACCGTACATTCTTTCTGCAAGTCTCGCCAGCTCAGTACGGCAAAATTCGACGTCGGGCATAGCTCAAATGAAAGGTAATGAATCAGAGCAGGACCCACTGAAATGATTTTTTGGGGGTTAGGACCTTCTGGGAATTGAAGGGGTTCAAAGTTGGTATTATTTTTTTTTTTACGTTTCCACCGTACATTCTTCCGGCAAGTCTCGCCAGCTCCGTACGGCAAAGTTCGACACCGGACATAGCTCAAATGAAAGGTAATGAATCAGAGCAGGACCCACTGAAATGATTTTTTGGGGGTTAGGACCTTCTGGAAATTGAAGGGGTTCAAAGTTGGTATTATTTTTTTTTTTACGTTTCCACCGTACATTCTTTCTGCAAGTCTCGCCAGCTCAGTACGGCAAAGTTCGACGTCGGACATAGCTCAAAAGAAAGGTAATGAATCAAAGCAGGACCCACTGAAATGATTTTTTGGGGGTTAGGACCTTCTGGGAATTGAAGGGGTTCAAAGTTGGTATTTTTTTTTTTTACGTTTCCACCGTACATTCTTTCGGCAAGTCTCGCCAGCTCCGTACGGCAAAGTTCGACACCGGACATAGCTCAAATGAAAGGTAATGAATCAGAGCAGGACCCACTGAAATGGTTTTTTTTGGGGGTTAGGACCTTCTGGGAATTGAAGGGGTTCAAAGTTGGTATTATTTTTTTTTTACGTTTCCACCGTACATTCTTTCGGCAAGTCTCGCCAGCTCCGTACGGCAAAGTTCGTCACCGGACATAGCTCAAATGAAAGGTAATGAATCAGAGCAGGACCCACTGAAATGATTTTTTGGGGGTTAGGACCTTCTGGGAATTGAAGGGGTTCAAAGTTGGTATTATTTTTTTTTTTACGTTTCCACCGTACATTCTTCCGGCAAGTCTCGCCAGCTCCGTACGGCAAAGTTCGACACCGGACATAGCTCAAATGAAAGGTAATGAATCAGAGCAGGACCCACTGAAATGATTTTTTGGGGGTTAGGACCTTCTGGAAATTGAAGGGGTTCAAAGTTGGTATTATTTTTTTTTTTACGTTTCCACCGTACATTCTTTCTGCAAGTCTCGCCAGCTCAGTACGGCAAAGTTCGACGTCGGACATAGCTCAAATGAAAGGTAATGAATCAGAGCAGGACCCACTGAAATGATTTTTTGGGGGTTAGGACCTTCTGGGAATTGAAGGGGTTCAAAGTTGACATTCAAAGTGTACGGATTTTTTTTTTAAACAAAAAAATCTTTACATTTCTTTTAAGTAAGGATGCATGCCGTACAAAATAGTGCACGTATACTTTCAATTCAAAATATTGTTTGTGGGCATAATGTACTCTTACAGTTTGTTATTTTGTATGTTTTCATTTTCAGTATAGGGAATAGACATTAAAAGTTCCTTTTCTAGAAAATAAAGGATATTTGAGGATGCCGAGTGTATGGAAAGCCAGTATATAGTTATTCTTTCGCACATAATATTTTTCTTATTTCGTTTATTTGAAAGCTGATACATTGTACAAAGGAACAAGTTTAAGTGAACTCACATTAGATAGTTATTCTATGCTCCGCCTACGACAGTAAAGCCCATAATATTATCTGGTTTTTGTGTTCGTTCGTTAATTCATTCGTCCGTTTGTCCGTCCATTCATACTGCATTAGAATGACGTTAGTGTTGAATCTAGTCTAAGATGACGTTGTAGTCAGATCAACTTGAAACTAGGTACACATATTCATTAAAATATGTACTTTTTAAATTATTTACGGTTCACTGAATATTGAAAACGATTGTGCGAGCAAATCATCATAAACAAACACTCTTGTTTTTTTTTTTATTATTCAAATTCTAAAAACTCTTTGGCTTTTTATTCTGATTTCTAAACCGCAAAGTACTATTGTATAGCCATTATGTGCTTGAGGGATATACGCTCCGTTTTTAATATTTTGTTTACAATAATTGATTTATCTTTGCGATCTCGGTTTAGAGTTTGGAAAACAGAGAAAACGTAAAGAAGACGTCAAAATATGGATTACTTTATTTCCTAACTAGTCCCTTTCCCGATAGAATAAACTCCGGAGAGGGGCGCACCTTTATTTATATAAATACATATATGATAACATATAGTATGTGTTCGAATGTAGGGGAATAAAAATAGTTCGTTAACAAAGAATGTTCCTTAGCTTTTTGTGTGTTTTTCGCTGTGCATTTACTGATTTTATGTCATGGAGGGATACCCCATATCCTTTGTTTTTCTATTGTATTAAATTGTTTTGACTTTTACGATTTTCTGGCACGTTATATTTTACTCATTGATATTGATGCAGACATTTAGCAACCAAACTAGTTAGTGCATTCAGCTACAGACGTCATTCGTATTGTAGTGTCCCTTCTCCCTTAATTTGATGGACATTTCTGGTCATTTAAACGTTAAAAACAATATGTATACCGTACTGGTAGATAGATTTTCTTTTTAACAGAACGTTGTTTCATAATGTGGTTTTGTGGTTTTCTCATATACCACATAATGATTCTTAGACAAGTTGATTCTCATTGTGTTCTTTATTGGTCGCTAGAATTGGTCGCTAGCTTGATTGGTCGCTAGAATTGGTCGCTAGCTTGAGTCTGGTGTTTTTTCAATTTAGTTTGGAGTTTATTGAATTTCCCTTTATAAATAACTTGCAACAACGTGTCAACAACGTGTCAACAACGTGTCAACAACGTGTCAACAGGGCTTTATTTGTATGGTTGACTTGCTACATGTACAAAAGGGCTTAGTTTACCTTTAAAATCAGAATTAAAAAAATCAAGTCCGATTTTTATGTAGACATATTTTTGAATCCCTAGTCAAATTCTTAGTTGGGTTGTCAATCGTTTCCTTTTCAATTCATAAGAGAACAAACGACCAAATATTAATAGTTTGGATATATCTTCATTAGGTACCATATCATTTTATGTTAATGTTTAGGTAGCTGGTAGCGGATGTTCTTAGCTGTAACGAAAAAATAAAGGTAGTATGTTTACACGGTATATAATACATAAAAAAAATATTCAACATACCACGAAATATAAAGACCACAAATACCAATACCCGAATCTTTCGAAAAAAGTAGATGTATAATCATAAATAAGTCCAAACCCCGAAAAAGAACAAAACAACCCAACCCAACACACAACATAACCAGACAGCCTGACTTGGTACGAACACAGAATGTGGTAGGGTCAAACCAGCTACGTGCGTAATTTTTAGACATACATAGAATCAAAGTAACTATTGTAAGCATATTACTGTGTCGCAACATTTTCATTCCCGTTTTTTTTTTTAACAAGCAATGTAGGTACACAGATACAAAGTTGTACAGTTTTTATTTTATGCCGCAATATATTTTTTCTATAGGATATGAAATGGTGCACCCGCTTTTCAATTTTTAATCTGGCTGATTTTTTAGTGCGGCTTCCTGTACCAAAATATATGCGACTTCGCCTTTTCTACTTATATGATTTGGTGGCGTTAGGCATCAAATGTCATCCATGGAAAATCGCATATTTTCTATTTGGGACTTTAACTGTGACTTCCTGGTCTATAACAACTTTAAAGATTAGTCATTTTACATTCATCATGTCCAATCATTTAACTCTTAAGACGTTCATCATTTACAATATAAAACTTGTGTCAGGGAAAACAACATTAGTTGGTTAACAAATACACAGAAGGAAGCTTAAACTTGAAGAACCCAGATTAATCACAACTTTACGCAATCTGATGAGTATAAAATCATAATTTTATTGTCTTTATCCTTTTTTTTACATTTTAGAATTCAAAAAGAAACTATGTGCTATTCGTATTTGGTTAGAGGTGAGCTCTTTATAATTTATGAAAATTCACGTATAATGGAACCCTAAAAATACAGACATAAAAATCCATTGCTTAACGAACACATGTAATAAGTCGGATTCCGCAAGACCAAACACATTTCTAAACCATGCATATTCTTTCATTTTGAGTAATTAAAAAACAAATTTAAATTAGAAAAATAAAACTAACGAGATTCATTTTCATAGTAAATTCGAAAACACAGAACAATAATCAAAGTACTGAAGTACTGAACATCGGATGACCACAAGTTCTTGAGGATGGTCAAAAGCACTTGTCTCAGAAAAAAACAACATATCTCTTTACCTGAAACTGAGGTTAATGTACAGAGATATATTTTTTTCTGAGACAAGTTCGTGCGTGGATGATGAATAAATGACAGGAAATTCAACTTCACCGTAATAACTATTATATTGTAGTGATACAAAGCAGTATACACTGATTTGTTGTTATATATTATATGAAAATAACAGTTACATATATATGTGATTTGCATCCATTTGTATATCATTCTATTCTACTATTCTAATAATAGTGCAATGCAAGTGCATGGTGGACACTTTTCTGTAAAAATTCGATTTTTTAAAGATTGGTTACGAGTAGGCATTCATATTTTCCCGCAAAAACAATTACAGAGTTACCGGTCCTTGCCGGTGTTGTCGCAAAACGTTCTTTGAGATATTCTTCCGCATGCTTTAACACAATTTTTCGGTACGTGTGCATTGATATTATCAATGATTTTTTACTTATATATATATATCTAACTACAAGACATTTTCATATTATAAATTTATGTTGTAAACAAAAATATTTTTATCAGTATTCATTGAAGAGATGTATTTATATCAAACGATAAGGAATGTTATTTTGCACTCGTTTATGTGCGCATATTTATCATGTTTATAGATCGGTTACAAACCCAAAACTAATTTACATAATGGAAATCTAGGCGATAGCAATACATCGGAATGACCTCAAGGTCATCGCGATTTAAAAATGTAATATTTCTTTGATTTTTATTTAGGTCTTGCATTGGTAGCAATATTAATAGTGATACCAAGAACATCTGGTAGGTAAATGTTGGAACGTGAGTTTTTCATATGTTGCTGTAAGCTGAACACACGGACGTGAGTGTTTAGGACTGATTTACTACACATTTAGAACTAAGTAGTATACTAGAATACATGACAATGTTTCTAAAACATGTTACTTGGATTATCGTTTTGTTCGATGAACCAATAAATTATAAGGAAATACATTTTGAGATGATAACACATAATAAAAAAAAAATGAGGTACTTAATAAAATTGAGAATGGAAACGGGGAATGCGTCAAAGAGACAACAACCCGACCAAAGAGCAGAAAAACAGCCCAAGGCCACCAATGGGTCTTCAACACAGCGAGAACATCCCACACCTGGAGGTGGGCTTCAGCTGGCCCCTAAATAATAATATATACTAGTTCAGCGAAAATGGACGCCACACTAAACTCCAAAACAAACAAGACTAACAAAGGCCAGAGGTTCCTGATTTGGCACAGGCGCAAAAATGTGGCGGGTTTAAACATGTTTTGTGAGATCTCAACTACAGTACTACCTGTGACATTATCTTATTAATGGTGACCATAAAAAATATGGTCACCATGATGGCCCTAAACGTCCATCATTATACCTCCTGTTGCTTAATTAATACACAAGGTATTAATCAAAAACTAGTCAAGGATAAAGGGAAATCATGACTTCATTGAAGTGTTAAAATTATAAAACTTGCAGGTAAAGTGTCTCAGGTAAAATATATGTGTTTGTCAAATTTAATAACTGTGATTATGACAAGAAAATTCTAAAATAAAATGAAATAATAAAACTAGTTGAACATATCGCTTCCTAACTTTTTTTTCTATAAATTTTCTCATGACTGTTTGTTTTGATGTTATATACCTTTTAAATAATTCTATCAATTTAAGTTATTTTTTACATGTATTTTTTGGCAAGTGAATAATAAATGAATATCATCTTCTAATATAATGCAAACTTTCACAACGACTGCCTTTTTCCATTGAAAAGGTTTTTCTCAAATTAATTTTCTAAAATCAAAATTGTTTATACTTACTGCATTTAACATTGTTTATACTTACTGCATTTAACATTGTTTAACAAATGTTTAAGATTATCTTTAGGACTTATTCTAAATAAAATTTAGGCAATTCATTATTTCTCTATTGAATAAATACATGTATACTCAAAATATTCATTACAGAAAAATTTGATAATATTTTTCTTGTCATATAAACACATTACAATTTCATCAAGTTACTGACAAAAAAACAACAAAAACAAACATTATAATGCAAAGAAATAACAATTCTAAAAGAAATCAAAACACATGGAAAAAAATTATTAGGTTTCTGCCCTCAGTTCTAATGACTTTTTTTTTTTATAAAGGAGCCAATATTTTAAACATGTTCCATGTTATAGAGGTTTAGCATTTCTTTTACTTTTTTTTCCTGGTTAAGATTTTATTTATAAGATACAAGATTTTATTCATAAACTGGTCAGAGACATTATTATGAGAAGGTAAACAATTTTCAAATAGATTATCTCTAAGTTGTTATGTTAATTTTACAAACAATTCTATCCTTTATAGGAATTTTTATCCACCATTTTTTTTTCAAAATTATGACCACTAATTCTTTACTTAGTGAAGTATTTGAGTTTACTGTTTTCATCATAAGTTTTTATTTTATTTTCAAAATATTCTTTTTTTTTTCCTTAAAATTCATTTTTAATCAAGGGCTTTAAACATTGTTAAAGAATCTAATTCATTCAAGTCCCTGCAATTATTAACTTTATCTAAAAGGCCTGAGTTAACGTTGAGTGAAATATTCTTTGCAAATGTATACTCAAGAATATGTATCATGGAATGCCAGTCCTGCAGTTTCGACAATATAATACATAGAACAAAAAGTGATTTAATTAATAGACCATAAAAATGTCACAATCTATATAGAAGTATACTTTATTTTTTTCTGGAGACAAATTTTGCTGTTAACTGACAAAATTAGTCAAACTGAAGATAACATATTTGATAAGTTTACAATTGTTTCAAAAAGCAAAACAATTTTTTCTTTAAATAATTTCTTTTCATAAGATTTTCTTTATTCAGAGATAAGAACATTTTTTTATTTTGATTAGCATTATGTTTAGCATTTATCAAAATTTGATGATAACTAGGTAGCAATTTGAAAAATTTAAGTCTCTTTAGCGATTCTTCATGCACAACTCCAGTTTTGAGATTTGAAAAATATAAAAGATAAACAAAAGAGTTTATTCCTATACCATATTATGATATTTGTAGCTTTCCTGAATAATAATCATGATAATAGATTGAACAACTTTGTTAACAAAATTTATTGTAAAAGGATAGATATTCATGACATTGATAATTCTAATTTGTTAAGAAACAGGCTTGTTAAATTACTTGCTTCATGCATATGGTTCCTTTAAACATATCATTTGCATGATTATAAGTTATAATTAATGAAAAATTCATTTAGTAATGCAAACGAACAATTGAATACCATGTACATCATGTGCAATAACTTTTTTTTTACTGAAAAAATAATTATTTAAAGGATTCTGTTTTGTTTTCAAATGCTAGTCAATAAATTATCTTTGAATTTTTGTCATTTCCACTCAATATTCTTTCAAAGAAGAAATCAAAAAAATAAGAAGCAAAAAAACAAATAAAAAATAACATAAAAAAATTAAAACATTAGGAAAAAGGGAAAATAGACAGAAAAATCAACAAATGATATGAATTAACAAAGATTAAAACAACATTCTATTCTACATTTTCAAGAAAAGGTGAAATGTCAAATTGAGAAGAAACCTGAGTTACCTGTACAGGTAAATTTTAATGAAACATACAAGCTGAAAACTTCAACCCTGATTGATTTCAACAGGTAACATAATTAGATAAAACATCAACCTATGTTTTATGACCCCAATAAATGGCCAACATCTCAAGATTGAATACCCCAATAAATGGCCACCATTCGATGGTGACCATACAAGAGGGTGGACATAACTAAGAGGAAGTCACAGGTTGTACTGTATGTACAAATTATGTTGAACTTTTATGGTTCTACACTGAAACATTGTTTGCTAAGTTGCTATATTAGATTCAACAACTTGAAACTGATAAAATCATGTTTTTCAATAGGACTAAGATGCCTTTCATGTCAGTTTGCCAGAAACGTAACTGACTGTTTCCGTACAGAGGCACAGTGCGAAGACGGAGAGGAGGTACTGAAATAAATTAACTTATTAATAACTAATTTAGATAAAACTAAGTTGATTGCGAAAGAGGGGTTGATGTTCAGCGTCAAAGATGTTAATAAAAAATAGACCCAGTAACAATTTACAAGATAAATGTTTCATTTTCAAATGTTTAAAACTTTTAACCTTTAAAAGAACAAGGGAAACATCAAAAACAAAAATTTCTATTTCCAAATTGTGAAACTTTCTATTTCTATGCAGCAATATTCTAGCAGCGCCTGTCGCGTAGCTACGTTTACGTCAAAACGCCCGGGCGTGCACATGAATTTTGGAGTGAAAAATATTTTGATCCAAATAAATTAAAGGACACGAGCAATTGTAATGCTTTCTTCGATGACTTGTAATTGAAGATCAAAGTGACGAAATTTACTTTTTAATCAAATGGTATCATATTATATATTTGTTCATTTTCTGTCAACTTTGAATCTACTGTGAATATTCCATAGCTACTCAGATTACTATTGTTTAAAGCAATTTAGTATCTGCTGGGATACAATATGTGTGTCTTGCAATTTTATGTTACACCTGACCATCTATGAAAATTAATTATTTCATGCGTCCATTAACGAAATTTTCCCGTAAAAAGGTGTGAAAATTATATGAAGTTAAAATAATTAATAGAACTTGCTGTTTTTTCTATTTTTATAAAGTTTTGATTGTTTTGTCGATTGATTGGTTTACCCAACACAATGAAATCAACATGAAAAAAAACCCAAATCAAACTTTAAAAGAGAAGCGAAAGATACCAAAGGGATATTCAATCTCAGTTGAAAACAAACTGACAATATCATTTCAAAAGACGAAAAACGACGAAAAGACAGACAACAGTACATAAAAGAAAACATAGAAAACTAAAGACTAGGCAATACGAACCCCACTCAAAACAGGGACTGATCTCAGGTGCTCCAAAAGGGTAAGCATATCCTGTTCCACATGTGGCACCTGTCGTGTGATAAGTCTAATTCGGTAGGTCAATTTCGAGGAAAAGAGGACGGAATTGTGGTTACAACAATGGAACATGTCCGTCGTCATCTGTGAAACAGTCAACCAACTCGTGATAGCGATCTTAAAATTTTCGAAGGGATGCTTTCAACTTCACCTATTGGAACTCTTGGTTAATTATATAGCTTCCTTGTAAGTAGCAACCTCATTCAAGGAAATCATGATGGGAAATGCAAGTTCTGAAATATCGTTTTGTTCTCAACCGACCAAGTATGTTGCTATTAGTGAATTTTGAAGGACAGAAATGGTATCTTTTTTCACGATTACGCGTGAGCTTCCGGGGGTTTTCGCCCCCTATCCGGAGGTCCTCTGCCCTGGGGCTGTTGGGGGCGGTCTTCAGACCACTTGCCGAGGTTCGTGCGTACACTTTAAAATGGCCTTGCTACGCCAATGGTTACGATAGAGCTTACGTTTCCTATCATGATTCCCTTGATAGAGGGTTGCTGCTTTTGAACCAAAGGTTCATAGTGGTGAAATTGATGTCATTTATCGGAAATATTACGGGCGCCATCATGAGTTGGTTGAACGTTATCGAATATCGGTGTCCCAGATGATCAAGAATATACATGAGTTTTTATTCCAATCGTCGGAACCACAATCCTATTATCTTATTTCTTGTGACATCACTGAATGAGACCTATCAACGGATATGTACTTGCATAATAAACACATGTGGAGCAGGAACTTCCGGAACATATTTATCTAGTTCATCACCGGTGTATGGTGGGGTTCTTGTTGTCTTTAGTTTTTTGTGCATTGTTTTGTGGATATGTTCGTATATTTTTCGTTTTTCATTTTTTGCCACAGCGTTTGTCCGTTTTACTTAGACATGAGTTTTGAATATCCCTTTGGTATCTTCCGCTTCTCTTTATTGTTCTGGACTTGTGCATTTGTACAATACACAAATACTGTTGCATGAAATGCACTGCAATCACTCTTATACACAATATTTAAGTCTACATAAAATATTCTGAAACCAACACAATATAACAGTTAACATACATGTGTGTTATTTAATATGAAAAAATACATAAGAGTAAAACTCTACAGAGTACAGTCTAAACCAACTATGTTTATATATAGTTACTTAGATTTAACATATTTTAATACATCTGTCTATACATCTGTGACACATCAGGATAGTTGTCGCACGAACAAAAACAACAAAACTTGGCTATGACTTTTCAATTAAACGAATTGTGTTTCTGTCAAATCTATTTAAACTTGCTGTATTTGAGAAATTTGTACAAATTGAATAAAGTTTAATGTAACTGTAAAAATAAACATGACCTGTTTATGTATAAAAACTAACCTTAACTCTCTAAAATGTTTTTTAGATCAAAATTAATTATATTACTAAATTTAAATATCAATGACACTAAGTCTTGTAAATCGGAATAGTATTAATATTTTTCTTAAATTGTATACGTCGAACTTGCGAAAAAAACACACTATCATTACATTATCACGTGTCCTAAACTGTATATTTCTTTGTATTTAGCAATGTTATTTACGGAAAGTGATGCTTCCAAATATGCAAATTGCATTTATAGCCGGTTGCAAGTCTGATAAGGTAAGTAACTGTCATTTATAATCGTTTACATGCATGACTCTGAACAACACTGTACCATTTCTAAACGTGAAACAAAAACTGCAAAAACTTTCACATTTTTATAACAGATGCTCATTTTATTTGTATTTAACATAAAAATCTTACTTCACCAGGAGTTCGGATGATCTGAATTACGGATTAAAGTGTGATCTTTCGGGATTGGCATATGTCGGTGAAACAAAATGCAGGTTAAAAACAACTGTGCAGTCAAGATCAAACATTATATAACACCATTGCATATGACATTGTCGATCAACATATCTATCTGTATGATCTTTTCTGTCTATGCGAGCTCGCGTCACAGAAAACTTATACTAGAGGTCTAACAATCCTCCACTTGCAACACCCCCTATTAGACAATAGGAAAACCACTGGATACGAGAACTGGGACCTGCAACACACTATAGTTGCAATGACAACATTGATGCCTTAAGTGTTCTATATTGGGATTTTATATCAAGCCAGATTTTTTTTACCATGCAAACCAAGCAAGAATATTTTTTTCAGTCAATCCACCCCCCCCCCCCCAAAAAAAAAGGTCAATGGTCCGTGCCTAAGCATCTGGCCTACCTTCATGGCAAATATGATGCAACGTAAACCACCTAGTGAATGTTGCATATTGTTAAAGGCTGTAATGACCTAGAGTTGCTTTCATCCAAGTCTCTTGCATTTTTTGAAGAATACCTGTGAGGTACTATGTTCTGCATTGATTTTAGATTTTAAAACAACATAACATAGTTTTTTTAACAGAGAAATACATTTGGTAAGATTAATCCCGTATTAATATTGTTACATACATTCAATATTTACTTATTTGTTTTCGCACATTATTAATTTAGGTATGCACTTTTGATGAACACCAAATTGGAGATGGCAAGCGACAAATAGAATTTTCTCATGGTCATATGACAGATTTAGTTATGTGTTCCGAATGCTGCACTGAAGGACCAAATAAAGATGGCGTACCGTGCAATGGTTACCTATGTGGACAACGTTAGTTTTGTTAACATTTTATATAACCAGTATTTCACTTTAATCAAATAATTAAATATAATAAAAGACACAGATCGTAGGGTCCTCAGTAAGTAATAGTTATCCCATGAGGATGCGGTGTGTCAGTGTAAGATCACTCCGACGGCCGGAGCCTGGAGGGTGATTTTACACTGATACACCGAAGTCCGAATGGTATAACTATTTTACATCCCAGCTGTTGTTGATTATATAAAAAAACATTTACGCTTCATAACATTTAGTTTTAGAATGCCACACAATCATTATATATAATATACTTTATATATTACTAATATAGTATATACCCTTTATGAGCCCCGGACACAATGTTTAAATATGCTAAATTAAGTGAGAGTTTACATCCAGTCGTCCTGGTGTAGGGGTATGAATAGTGGGTCTAAAAAAAGTCTTGAGTTCGATTCCCAGCATAGACTGGATTTTTTATACATAAATTTTGATAGTTAGTCTTTTCCGTATAAATATTTCTAAGTTTTATTATTTTCTTATTCGTGGCCTCAAAGGCAAATAAAGTATTAATGAACAAAAACTCAAACACATATCTATGGGAAACAACTCGCCTAGACGAGTGCAGCAAAGTTTTATTTTCTAATAATACAATGTCCTCAATCACTATGCCAGCACACTAAGACCGCTGCAGCATAAATTGTACATGTCTTACAAACATATCTACAATGAAAAGTAATGAAATATAATCTTTCGTAACACAAAACAATATTTACATAATGTTCATTTAAGATCTGTAGACAAAAACGTAATGCGTTTACAATAATTATAAATTAATACAAAACATGTTCACAAGGGAGGGAGGAGGGAGGGGAAAACTTTACTGCACTAAGACTGAGCTTCGAATGGTCAAACTATGAAAAGGTATTTTCAATGTAAACGTTTACCGCGAATGACCAGTCCGTGCTATCATACAAAGAAACTTTAAACTCCTAACTTTGTTAAGGTGACTTATTATTATGCTAAAATACTTTAAATATTATTGTAAACATGAACACATGTTCCCAATATAACAACAAACCCATGTCCTATCGATTTTTAATAAATACGTTTATTTTCTTATTCGTGGCCTCAAACGCAAATAAAGTATTTATGAACAAAAACTCAAACACATATCTATGGGAAACAGCTTGCCTAGACGAGTGCAGCAAAGTTTCGAACAAAACAAAGGATGGGCCAAAAATGGACACATTGATTTATATTAAACACCAAGATTTTTTGTAACTGACAACCTTTCTTCTAAATTTTCTTTAACATAGCCATCTTTTGCACGATCACTTTTCCATCTTCCGTGTTTTTTGAAAATTCTATCTTCAAATTTTGATGCAGCAGCTGCCGTAGCTCCACCAGATCTCAAACTATGAAGACCAAATTTAGTCTTGTCTAAACCTAACTTATGAAGAGCGGACAATAAAATGTCTCTGGCGGAAGAATACGATATTTTTCTTGATTTACGAAGTACATAACTGTTGTTACTTTTACAATAGCTTAAACCTCGGAATATATATTCCGTACTACTGGAAGAAATATTTGCCAAGCTTAAATACCTGTGTAACATATTGACTGGACAAGTGATGTTATTAGTCTTAGAAATGAGAACATCGTTACCCTCTCTGTAATCATCTGTTTTACTCTTTTCGAGAAAAAGTTTCACATATGAGTCATAAAAAGTTATTTTTTCCCTTTTGCCGGTGAGCCCAACTAATAGCGTAAAACGTTTCATTAATCTTGCTATGTGATTTAGCAAATTCAGTTAATTCTAATGAATTCAATGAAACACGAGTGTCATGAACCCGGTAAATAGGAAATTCCATTAAATACACACCATTTAGTCCAAGCTTCAAAAGCATATTTGTAGTTTTTTGTTGTATTCTCTGATCTAGACGAAAGGCAAAACTGTGGCAACTTAGTTGACAACTATGAAATGTGACTGTTGAAAGAATTCTTTTGTAATGCTTCCCATCTACCAGTATGAAAAATAGCGGTTTAAGATCGTTGGGTGCTTTGTCCTTGAGCGTTGTGCTGAAATGTCTGGACCCTGTTAAGTGGGCAGTTCTTGCGCCAATATCCAAACTGTTTACACTGGTGACACATGTCATACTGAGTCGGCTCACGCCGACCGTAGCCTGCACGAAAGGGCTGTGGAGGTTGAGAATAACGACTGTAAGGCTGAGAATAAGCAGGATTCGGCACAGTTTCAGATGGTCTAGCAATTTGGGTAGCTCTGTTGCTAATGTTGTACGGAGAAGGGCGAGGTTTGGTTCTCTCTTTAATTGACTTAACTGCACGACTTTCGGCTTGTCCAATCTTCTTTTCATCGTCAGAGTTATCAGCGATGGTATTTGACTCATATTCGCGCACTGTAGTCCAGCACCCTGTAGAGCTGTCGGCGATCCTTATCGATTTATTCCTAGCTTTTACTTTAGTTATAAGCTCAGACACAATACTGTTAGTGGGAGAATCTAAAGAGGGCCCTTCTTTTGAATTTTATGGAGCCCGGTCAGAATTTCATCGTTGAAATGATATTGAATACTGTTCCTTTCTATCTTGAATTTGATACCGACTTCTTCTTTAAATTTACGTGATAAATTGTCTTGCTCGGAAGCCAAATCAGCTTTTAAATCTACAAGTTTGTAATTTAAATAATCATGGAACAAATGAAAAACATCTTCGATATCCATCTACCAGTATGAAAAATAGCGGTTTAAGATCGTTGGGTGCTTTGTCCTTGAGCGTTGTGCTGAAATGTCTGGACCCTGTTAAGTGGGCAGTTCTTGCGCCAATATCCAAACTGTTTACACTGGTGACACATGTCATACTGAGTCGGCTCACGCCGACCGTAGCCTGCACGAAAGGGCTGTGGAGGTTGAGAATAACGACTGTAAGGCTGAGAATAAGCAGGATTCGGCACAGTTTCAGATGGTCTAGCAATTTGGGTAGCTCTGTTGCTAATGTTGTACGGAGAAGGGCGAGGTTTGGTTCTCTCTTTAATTGACTTAACTGCACGACTTTCGGCTTGTCCAATCTTCTTTTCATCGTCAGAGTTATCAGCGATGGTATTTGACTCATATTCGCGCACTGTAGTCCAGCACCCTGTAGAGCTGTCGGCGATCCTTATCGATTTATTCCTAGCTTTTACTTTAGTTATAAGCTCAGACACAATACTGTTAGTGGGAGAATCTAAAGAGGGCCCTTCTTTTGAATTTTATGGAGCCCGGTCAGAATTTCATCGTTGAAATGATATTGAATACTGTTCCTTTCTATCTTGAATTTGATACCGACTTCTTCTTTAAATTTACGTGATAAATTGTCTTGCTCGGAAGCCAAATCAGCTTTTAAATCTACAAGTTTGTAATTTAAATAATCATGGAACAAATGAAAAACATCTTCGATATCAGAACTGGGAGCAGGGGGCTGTGACTCACCTCTATCATGTGCATTTGTTGCGGTGTGGTCCGTATCACCAATATCCGACATAGCTTAAAATTAAGCCAACTTTACTGCAATAAGACTGAGCTTCGAATGGTCAAACTATGAAAATGTATTTTCAATGTAAACTTTTACCGCGAATGACCAGTCCTTGCTATCATACAAAGAAACTTTAAACTCTTAACTTTGTTAAGGTGACTTTTTGATATGCTAAAATACTTTAAATATTATTGTAAACATGAACACATGTTCCCAATATAACAACAAACCCATGTGCTATCGATAGTGAATAAATACATTTGTGGACTTGACATTCCCGCAAAAATGTTACAGAACAAAGGAAAGCATGCAGAACAAAGAAACGCAAGCTAGGGTGATCTGGTAGGGGTGATCTGAGAGAACTAAGGAGCTAGGATGTAAATGCTCTTCAACTTTGTTCTTGATTTGGCCTATAAACTTTTTTAATTCTTTGATTCGATGGTCACTGATGAGTCTTATGTAGACAAAACGCGTGTCTGGCGTACAAAATTATACATATAAGCATGGCATGCTGATTTTTTTTTACCTTGAGAATAGTTAACTAAGAGTTCTTTATCAAAACATTCAATAAGATGATGTCTGTACGTAGATTTAAGCGATCTAGATCTGAATTTGCTAACACAAAATAGAATTAGAGTTAGTAAAACGTTTACGGAAATCTATGATTGTGCTTATAAATGTCACATTATAATATTAGCTGTTTACAGGTACTTAGAATTAGTGGAAAAATAATTATGAATACACTGAATGATCAATAATCGAATATATCTGTTGCACTCAGTCTGGTACATTTGTACAAGTAACCATAACCGATTATAAATATCAGAAATAAAATCTTAAACATGTAATATTGAGAATTTATAAGGCAGCTAGAAACGAAGGATATGTATAATTACACTTGAGTGTCCATAAATTCGTAGTTTTTATGTAACTTCGTTGTTGTACATGTATTAGAACAAATTAAGTATGTTTTTCAGGTCCAACTTTGAACCCCGATTATGTATGGTGTGCTGAATGTGACAGAATAGATGATCCTACGAAGTGCTCACGATTTGTTCAGTGTCCATCTAATGAGGTAATATTTTGAACGTTTCTTATGGTATGCTTTGTCGGTGTTAAGAAGGCAATTTTTGTAAGAGGAAATGAATTTCGATTTTCAATTTGTATCAAGTTAATAATACTTTCAATTAAACGCAATTTAATGAATATATTTTTTTTCACGTTAGCAGTAACCTATTTTTAGGAATAAATTGTAACATTTCTGTCTCAAAAATATGTTCACATTAGTGCAATGATCCGGCGCTTGTACTTAATCGTATGATTGATACATGCAACTAATTCATTCTTGCTACATGTATCTGTTGTAGAGTCGTCACTGGTTTAGACGTACTTACAATATAATCATTTCTGTGACTGCATCTTACATTAATTTGAAGGATCCTTTACAATAGATAATTCAGCTGATCTGTAAATTTTCCATCTTCATGCCTTATATACCATGTATTGTGTTACGACGCTAGATTAAAACTGACAAGGAAAGGTAACACCCGGCAACCGAAAGAGCCTAGGTGGTCGCGTGGTCTAGCGGGCACAGTGCAAGGCGATTTAGTGCCACGATATCTCAGTAGCATGAGTTCGAATCCCGGCCAGGGAAGAACAAAAAATTTTGCTAACGCAAATTTACAGATCTAACATTGTTGGGCTGTTATTTAGACGAACAATATATATATATATATAATTAATCTAAATATCAGCACAACAATGTTAAATCTGCAAATTTTGTTCTTCTCTCGCCAGGATTCGAACTCAAGCAATTAGGATATCGAGACAACACCGCCTGCACTTTGTCCAGCGTTCTAGATCACTCGGCCACCTAGACTGAACTAAAAAATTCGGCTTTCGGTTGCCTAGTGTTACCTTTCCTCGTCAGTAGAATCTAGAGTTGTAACACAGTACATGATATATTGGGCATGCAGATGGAATTGATTGCAGATTAGCTAAGTCAGTACTATATTATATAACAGTATTTGAAATAATGTACGTAAAACTTCATATATAGAATATGTACATGTATATCAAATAAGATAATTTTCGAAGATTTAGATCGGAAACCAACGATTAACAGATATGGATCAGAATGGGATCATCAATGAAATTATATATATTACAAGTATCTATTAAAGGAAAAAGTAAACAGCATCACTAAAACTAGATGATCACAGCATGGCATAACAAAGTAATAAAATCGGGACAAGTTACTAAGGGAGCAATACAAAATTATAATAAAATAAATTACTGTATTGTAAAAACAAAATAAATAAACAAAATTAATCTTTCCTTTTCATTACATTAAACAGGTCTGTTCACAGGATATAATGGTAGCTAATCAGCAACTAAAGTATAGTCTGGGCTGTGAAAGAAAACAGGTAATGCATCATATATCAACATTTTATTGGGTTTTGTCACGACTTTGTACAATTTTGATTTTGAGAGAAATGTAGGAAATCATTTCAACCTTACGTGTAAGCTGAGTATAGATAAGAGGAGATGAATACCACTAAGAATAACTATGATCAAGTAGAAACTGCAATAGCTGCATAGCGCCTCATTAGCGTATACGTCTTGTGTATTCCATTTGCCGTATGAATACCGTACATTGTATGATGCAACTTCTCATTTAATTAATTCTCGTGCTCAGCTTTACAACATGTAGCTATGAAATGGAAAATTATATACTTATCGGATGCAGCGTTATAAGAAAACCTCATTTATAAATCCATATTTAAAGACCTAATGGTTAATTTATCTTCAGAAGAAACGTTTTTTAAATTGAGAATATGCATTTTGGACATTAGCAATAATGGAAGATTAAAGCCTAAAATATAATTGCTAGGTGATGTCATTTTTTTCTATGACTATTAGAGTTACGGTTCTTACACCACTGCTGTTATCAATGATTTTCAAAGAATAACAACAATTTCGGCCTATCAACGTTTTTCTATTACATTAAAAATTTGAAGAAAAAAAACATCATTTCAGTAAAAATATACACAATGAATGTACAAGTAATGAGATATCCCAGTTTTAGAACTTACAAAATGTAATTCTGACTTTTATGAAAATATGGAAACCAAATTGTAGATTTTTTGTAGATATGTGACAAGACTCTGGAGTCATATAAAGATACCCATGGCAGGAAACGTGACCATGGATACATAAATATCTGCTCATCATGTTGCAGCACGAGAGAATGTAACCAAGGAGCCTGCAACCTAATCAGACAAAGTAAATATTCCATTTATTCTAAATTAAAATATTGCTATTGTTTATAAAGTATTTGAATTTTTGTTAACTTTTTGTATCATAATATTCAAAATTGGCTTAGAAATCTACATTGTGTATACATGTACTACAAGTAACTGTATGTTTCGATTCATTTACCATAAATTATCTACAATATTAAATATTATATGCAATACTATTTTATATCTATTAACATTTTATATTTACTTTTCAGAACAGACGTACTATACAACGAATACAGGTTAAGAAAATCGTTGTCTTTTATGTGTTTATTATTATGGAAGTTTACATTAAATTTGGATACCTCGTCATTATTATGGAAACCAGGACGATCTTGAAAATAATTCATGAATAATTATTGAATATTAGTTATTAAATATAACTCATATTGATCTTTTATACGTGTAGTATATTACGTCTAAACTTCGGTACGTGCACACATAAAAATATTAAGATGTGGTATGATTACAATGTACCAAAGAGACAAATGTCGTAATCCGTAAGAACCAATTTGAAAGGATAAAAATGTGTATATTCACGGGTCACCACACGGCCTTAAACAACGAGTAAATCCCATAGCATATAAGTAAGCACCGGTATGACAAAATGTGAAACATTTTACAGAGAAAAGCCACGGGCTTGACAAATACAACAATGAACGAAAACAAACATGACAAACAACGACCAACGACAAACACTAGACTACAGGTTCCTTGCTTTGGTACAGGTACAAGAATGTGGTTGTATTTTCAAACAATTACGTTATATCTATACATATGTATACCACTAGCCAAACACGTTTAAGGATGTACTTAGGTCAGGTTTAGGAATTTTTGTCAGATGTTCGGATTCCTTGGTTTTTTTCCTACGATACAGGGTAAAATATTTTGCCCCATAACACCCATTTATTTTTCATATAAGACTTCAATAGCTCATAAAAGGTTATGTACCAAAATTAAAGCAGATTATAGATTTCTTTCGATTTGAGACCCAAATAATACCAATGCAAATATAAGGTAAAAGTCCGAGTCAGCATTTTCCCCCATTTTTTAAAAATTAAATATCTCGAAAAGGTACTCCATAACCTATCAATATTTTTAGCTTATTTTGTTCCTTAACTAATGCTCTTCTGACTTAAAGTACCAATTTTAAATTCTAGATTTTTTTAATTTCACCTAAGTACATCCTTAAAGTAATATGTTTCAACTGTACTTTTCGAAAGAAAGATGTGACGCGTAATAAAACAGCAACATGACGGGTACCACTAGTGCAACAGGGTCCTGCTTACCCTTCCGAAGCACCTTAGACCACCACCGGTTTTTGATTAGTTTCGTGTTGCTCAGTCTCTAGTTTTCTATGTTGTGTTTTGTTTACTGTTGTTTGTCTTTTGTTCGTATATCGTTTTTTTTTTTTTGCCATGACGTTGTCAGTTTATTTTTGATTTATGAGTGAATATCCCATTGGTATCGTTCGCCTCTGCTTAAATAACATGTTAAAATGGCTTCTCGTTTGTGAACGATAAACAGCAAATCATTTTATAGAGATTTATGCCTGATTCTGAGATTGTCCTTTTTACAAATGTATAATGTAGCTGTATTTTCATCTTGTCGAACTTTTTTTACTGTACCAACAAACAAGGGAACTTAGGATGAACACTTGATGAATTTCAATTAAACTACACCCTTGTAAATAATATTAGCCAAAATAATTATACAATCCAAAAGAACATAAAACTCTTCTCAATCAAACACAAACCGTGAAAACGGTCCGAGTTCAGACTAGGTTAGAAAATTGCGTGAAATAGTACTCACACAATTTTCTAACCTAGTCTGAGAGCTCGGACAACAGCACTTAACTCTCAATTTTCAAAAATAGGAAAAGACATCAAAACACAAGTGACAAGATTTCTGGCAATGATTGGACACATTTATAAACATATGACAGTTAAAACTAATTAGTGAAGCACTATCATCCCCTTTTTATCTCGATCTGTAAAATAAATTAATGGTACCAATTTTACGAAAAGATTGTATTAACAGGAATTAAAAAAACAGTTAAGAAAAACAGTATCTATGTTCATTGATATTTGTTTTTTAAGCATATGAAAACAGGAAGATATGATAATAAAAGTACTAATGAATATATAAGATGGCAAAGGTTGCTAGAAACATAATTATATAAAATATTTTATATCTTCTGATTATAAAATAATGTCTTCTTTTTTCATTAAAATATTTTTTCATGGAAGAAATAACATTAAAATAAAATAAATTGTTTAATATAACGTATTAGATATTAAAATCATGTTAAACACAAACAAACATGAAATGAAAGAAGAGGGGGCATTATAAATACTCCCACAATGTATTGATTTTTATCATAGTACACCTTTTAGCACAAGTGTTATGGTGAAAACCCATAATGCTAAGTATTGTAATATCTATTAAATTCTCGGCCAAAAAGCGAGAACCGTAAATTGCGATAGCTCTTGTGAAGCAAAAATTTGTAAGAAAGGTAAGCGAAAACATAAACGTGGATACAATGGAAAATTCAAGGCAAAACATATTTCTAAAATAGACTTTTTAAACATCCACAACGTACATGAATTATACAAATTATAATATATTTAAATATTTTTAAAAACAAATGACAGACCCGCTAACCTTGATCATACTTATACATAGAACGTAAAATGCACGATATCAGATAAGATAAAGGGGGGATAGGTCTTTATTTAAAATCAGAACTTCCTGTTCTTGATGATGACCTTCTCAATAGTAAAAACGGTGAACATGATCGTTTGTGGGTTCTATCTAGATTAGGCAATACATAAACAGCTGTTGGAATTGCATATTTTCCGAATCGAACGGAAAATGTACAAAAAGTGTCACGATACAAACTTTATATCATGTGTGAATTAACATCTTATAATGGAAACAAGGCTTAGTCAGTTATGTAGATGCTAAAGACAAAAAGTCTGACTTACTTGCTGCAAATTGCCTCCCTGTTTGTGAAGGATTTTATAAACGTATTCTGAATAATGAAAGGTCCGCAATCGACTATATTCGTTCTGAAGAACTTAGCAACTTTGCCTTTTTGATCTACATAGTGATCATGTCATAATAAGAACCAAATAAACACAAACAGGCGGTGAATAAAAACATAAACCTTAAAACCGGCTTTCATTTGGAAAATAAACAAAATACTGTAACATTTTTCAAACAACCTTAAAAGAACAATTTAGGGTATCAGAGTACACTAAAACATGTCTTCGGATATCAATACAATAAGGGGTAGACTGGTACCCGGCCGTTAAGGACATTCGTGCAGTTATAAACAGTCATTTTAATTCTTTCAGTAGAATTCCTCAGTAAAGTGTAATTTGCAAGATGAGATTAAAATTTTCTCTCGAGTATATTGAAAACCACAGGCACTTGTCTCTGAAAAAAATTCCTATATACCATAAGATACCACAAGGTACTTAACTTGCATTTTTGAAAAATGACCATCGGTCGCGAAATTTCGTTATATATGGATTCCTCGGTTGTCTACCCCACTAAAACTTATTATGCCGTAAATTTACATTGATTTATCTGCACAATGGTGTATGCGTGCCTACCTTTATTGTCGGAATCATTCGTAGCAGGCCTCCCAAGTATGTCAATCGTATTATTTCGTCTTCTCACAGCCCTTTGGAAATATAAGGGTATAGCATATAGAAGTTAACTACAGGTCACCGTACGTCCTTCAACAATGAGCAAAAACCATACCGCATAGTCGGCTATAAAAGGCCCCGAAATGACAAATGTAAAACAATTCAAACGAGAAAACCAAACGGCCTGATTTGTGTAATAACAATGAACGAAATACAAATATGATACTAGTATACAACAACACAAACTAGATGTCAAATTGGTCTAATTTAAAGAAACCGTTAGTCGGGTAAAGCTTGTGGCATCGATGAGACTCCTAATGAATTCTTTGAAGTTGATATTAGATTTTAGTATTTTGAATCAAAGTGACAGGAAAGACAAGTTCTTTGAAGACTGGAACATTGCAATTCAATATTTTGCTAATAATTAGTCGCTATATAAATTTTGATTTAAAGTCGGGATAATATCATCATTTTGGTATTTGTCCCCAACAGCACTTTTGTTTAGGGTTTTTTTCTGGAAACAGCAGTATTTCTGTTTCACTGTCTTTTAAATTAGTTACCTTTTGGTTATCAACAGTTCCTTTTATTTTTTCAAAATGTTAACGTGCGATGGTTAAATACTGTAGAAGAAATTCTATAAAGATAGTTGTAACATGAATGGTAATTGTTCCTTTGATCTTCGAGTGAGTTAACTTCGGTTATTTTTAGAGGAGTGCATTGACTGAACAATTTTTTAGTTATTGCACTCTCCAGTCCCGCCGTGTGTCGCTTGTCATAGGAAAAGCAAAGAATGGGAGGAGCTTACACCAGTGCTCTAACTTCATTCTCAAAAGTTGTTAATCCACTGTCTAGCTCCGCCTCCTTGGCCTAGTAAACTATGAAATCAATGACCATAAAATGTTCTAATAAATTTAAACAAAATGCATACACAACAATATATCCAAAACAAAATCGGGAAAGGGGGGAAAAGGGGGGGGGGGGGGGCGGGGGGGTGAGGGTGCTTACCCTTTCACCAGCCAAACTTGTAAACCTAACTAAATTAAAAACGGTTCCCTATACACTGTACTTGTAACAAATGAATGCTCGAGGAGAGCTACAAAAAGGAATAACGTGGTCTAGAAACGAAGAGGCGATATTGATAAATTGGTGGATACTTGTTTTTATCGTGACAATATGAATATTTCAAAACAAAAAATTGTCACTAGAATTTTAGTTGTTTAATTTCCCCCACTTAATGAAAGAATACAACAAATGTAATAGAAATGGCTATAAATTTTCCCACTGTTATTTTGGTTGGATACCTGTTTTTATCGTGTCGAAATTAATAATATTCTAAAAAATATATGTCACTGGACGTTTAGTAATTTTCTTCATTTTATAAAAATCTATCTCCGTGAATTGATCATGCTTCAAATATTTGTCCCTGGATCTTACACGCATTCAACATGCAACCATTGCAATCAATTAACCGATCTTTTTCCAGTTATTGGGAATGGAAGAATAGTATTAATTACCTTCATAAATGGTATTAGAAAATGTTATCACAACGTTAACACTCCTTTGAAACTACACGTCATTTTCGAGTTGGAGGCAGATAAACATCGAATAAAATTTTGCATTACCCCACACACCCCTTTTTCAAGAGTTTTCGGGGAGAAAAAAAATCAAT